CCCCACCCATCACGCCTCCTCTCGAATCCACACAGTTTCAGAGACAGCCACCTGGTCGACACCACCCCAGCAATCGCGGTGCAATTAATGTAGCCACTGGAAACTGGTTCTCGGTCGAGCCAATTAAACATTCGCGATTGCTGTGAAAAGGAATCGCCTCGGCGATTAAACGGGAATTAAATTCTCCCGGCGGGTATTGCTATCGCGAATTCGACAGGGAACGTTCGACCGAACGAAAGAAACGTACAGAGTAGGTATAATTTTTAATTCGACAGACAGATCGATCTTCCGGGGATTTCTCGGATGATCTACGGATTTTTCACGGTAAATGGTGGAAAGATCTTGGAAGATAAGCGAGGTCTAGCGTAGAGACGTTGAGAGTACGCGAGGTACATTGTCCGTCGACGAATCTAGGTGGTTTAATCTATCATTGCGGAGAAGGAACAACGGTCTAGAGTAGGACGAGGGGGTTGGCGGGGCGAAGGGGCGCGGTAACTACCGGGGAATAATTAATAAATGCGAGGTATGCATTAGTATGCGTGGCGTGGGATGAGTTCGTGCGCGGACCTAGAGTCGTGAAAGTCGAGCGAGCGGAGCTAGCGAGCGTGCTCGGGAGGAGAGGCGGGAAAGTCGCGAGGAATTATAAAATAATAAAGAGAGAGAATTACGTAATGCGAGGATCAGATGAGAATTAGAGAGGACAATGAAGACGGGGGTAAACCAGCGCCGTCTAACCTGGGGGTAGACCATCTAAGGAGGCGGAGAGTGGGAAACGGAGGTCGAGGACCAGACGTCTTAATGTCTGCATCGTCGGGGAACGCGGTCCTTGCGCATGACTATCTTTCCGCGAGCTCGCATCTCTCCGATAAGAAGCTCCACGATTCCGAGGATACACATCAGCTGTGGTATTCTCCGACGACTGTTGTCCACGATTTTATTCAATTCTCGCGTGAATGTCTGTGTAATTGAATCGAGATGTATTTATCTGCATCCCCTTTCTTATGGAGAAATAAACAGCAGTGAAAAGGCGGCAACAATACTTCCCAAGATCTCATCGATCGCGTAGAAATTACTATAAGAAATAATCGAACGAAACATGGACTACAACTGAGAAAGAAAATTCATAACGTAGTAAATCGCCATTGCATCTGCGTTAGATTACTCGTGTAATAAAAACGTGATTGCTGTTATTATATATGGTATACCGAATAAAAATTCTGTACACTCGAGCGTAGCTACGCGAAGGCTTCTCGAAAAGATCAAAGGAAGCGGCGAAAATTTTGGGAAATTCATTAAAGAAACAGCACCCCTGCGGGAGAATCACACGAAATTTATCGAACACGTAGGCGAGCGCGATCTCGTGCTACCCGCCGCTAATCGGACCGCCTAATTAGTAGTCAGACGCCGTGCACCCGGCAGCGACTTTGTAAATGGTAACAATGTTATGTAATTAGGTAAAAAGTTCTGTAATCAAGAAGTAGATCTTCAGGGTATCTCTCTCTTCCTCCCGCTCTCCGGCGTACCTCTCGTTCGTATTAAAATAGTCTCGCTAGGAAAGCGTGCGTTGCGCCTTGCATATCTTAAAACCCAGGGGTTGCCGAAGACGGGGGCTAAGATCCGCCACCACCTCCCACCCTCCTCATCCGGTTCTGATTTTTCTCGCGATTCATATTGCCCACGGACCAGAGAAAGAAACGTCGGATTATACGTCCGTGAGAAACCCGGCGTTTTTCATCCCTTCGCTTTTAAAGTTCACCGATATTTCCACGCTTCTCGCCGAAAGAAGGAGAGAGAGAGAAAAATGATTTTCTCCAACTTCGATTGTATCACACGTATACATAGAAATACACACACTTGACGGTTAGGCAAAGCGAAATTCACAAGGAGGCTAATCGCGTATAGTGATCAAGCCGCGATAAATCGTAGCGCCTTTAATTATTTCGCAAGAGAACTCGCGGGGCCAGTTTATTCTCGTTGGTTGTACGATGTTTAATGAAACGGTATCGAAGCGGCAAAGTACGTATAACGTTTTGCACGTGCACGATCGGCATTAGTCTTCCCCTCCCGATATCATCGTATATCGGTTAAGAATCATTCTGAAACGAAACCAGCCGAAACCGTTGACGTCAGTGTCTCCAATACTGTTTCACGTGGTGAAGCTCGATGATCTCATACAGCGTGAGTGTGTGTGCATCGGTATACATAACCAAGTGGTTAGAGCGTTTTTCGCGCGTGCACATTGTGGAATCACGCTGCGTTCACCCGACCACACGTGTGCGTTTGTCAACTTCTCGGAATACGTGTTCCTCGTAGCATGCATAATTTCCCTTGTACGGGCGACTTCTTTGCTCTTGGACGAATTATCGTCTGGACTTTTCCTTTATCGGGATACGCGTTCTCTACGATTAACATAGGTGAAAGCCTCGTGAGATTTTAGCGGTGGAAACAATTGTCCATGCAAATGAGAAAATAATTTTACGCTCGATTTCATTTTTCACATTGTTCCAAGAAAATTGTCAGCGAGGTGTGAAATTTTCGCTTATTCTTCAACCTTCGCTTTAAAGACTATAATTTTCGCAATTTTAAAAATGAAACCTTAGATCAGAGAGGCTCAATTTTAACCCTTTCATACCGAAATAATGTTTTTTAAAGAATTTGTCACTTGTTTAGCGATCGTCGCGTTTGTAGTGAATACTAAATTGAGATCAATTTCTATTCGAGCGCTCGAGTGGGACGTAACGAGACCCACTGGTCACGAAAGGGTTAAATTCCTCGTATCCCCAGATCCATCAACGAAGATTTCGCTGGCCTAAAACTGCGAAACGATGCAAAGGAAAGCTCTAAATTCTCAAAATACCATAAAAATTCAACAGACAGTCTAACTAAAAAAAAATGAATCAAGTCGACGAAGAAACGATAAAGATCCAAGTTTATTCGCGGATCGCGAGGGTTCCGGGAGTCAGCGAGATATAGTTGACAAGGTAATCGAAGTGTTAAAACGCGATACAGCCGGAGTTAAATTTCACAAACACTCGGTAGTGGAGTGTAAACGAAAGGAATCAGGGTTCATTCGATCCGTTCGACGGTTTAACGAAATCAAGTTATTTGAGAGGCAACGTTAGAAAGTAGAAATAGAGAATAAATTGCAGGTAAGGTTGATCGCGATGCACGGCCGATCTTAACCAGCCCATACGTTGCGTGCAACAACCATACGATATTGTTGAAGCTGTATTGGTGCACCGACACGTCGGCAACGAAACGATTTCAATAAACAAGCTTGACACACACGTACCTGCAAAGTGGCACGAATGGTTTTTTCCTAGAGTCGGCTACGTGCGTGGGCGGCATCGACTTTGCTTCCCTATCGCACGTAAAAGCCAAGATAAACGTTATTTATTTATTTTTTCTCCCCTCTCTTCGTACACGTGTGTATACACGTATTGCGTCGTTGTGCATAAGCATCGTTGAATGAAGACATTGTACGGCAATAAGGCGAACGACGATACGGTTTGCCATTCGATAAAATTGCAAATCCCACGGCAAGGATCGCTCGAACGCGGATATAGCGTTCAGAAAGTCGATGTAAATCGTTGGTAAAATACGATCGATCCCGGTTACGTTAACCATCTTGGAAATTGCGTGTTACGTTCGTTCCTCGTTGCTTCGTATCGCGTACAATTTAGATTGCACGTCACTCTCCGTTTATTTAACCTCACCAGCACGCGCATTACTTGCGTTACAATGCTCCAACGTTTACGTCACGCCCCGCTTTGATATTTGCCGAAATTAGAATACATCACGATCAATTGTAATCTCTAATTCGACCTCGATTAGCCACCCACATAGGGGATGTAAGGGAGATTAAAGCCGATCGTCGCTCAAATTCTTATCTCTCCTTAAAGCCTGTACCTTGTGAAGATCGCGGGTATTCGAAATTCACAGCGAAATTCGAGAAATTGCAAAATTGTTCTACTGAAAAATTCTCCAGCGTCGGGGATGCAAGATTCACAAAGAGACAAAGTCACAGAGGGACACACTCGAGCTTGGAACCCTTGACACCGATACCTCTATCAATCGCACAGCGTTCCGAAAGAAACGCGAAGCGGCACGAGGAGCGGGAGGCGGCGAACGTTCGAAAAAAGGAGGAATTCTCGCGAAGTTTTCCCTAAACCGTGGGACACGTTTCGCTCGTTAAGGGTCGTCGACGGATAAGTAACGACGGCGCCGGGCGTCGGCGAAGAGTGGTCCTGTTCTAAAGAGAGAAAAAAAGAGAGAGAGAGAGGGGGACAACACGCAGTACCGTAGCACGAGTAAGCAGAATGGGGTAGGTAGTTGGTACAGGCTGGAATTAAATAAAAATAAAACGCGAGATAATAACGTTAGCGAAGGAACCGAGAGCTCAAGACAAATAGCCGAGGGAAAACAAAGCGTATTATAAATACCGGGTGACAGGACGAGTTGGTGCGGGAGAGTGAGCTCGCGCGACCGAGTAAGAGGGTGGTTTTCAACGGGGGCCAGAAGAAGGAGAGTAGGATGAGGAGGTTCGGTGGAGAAGGAGTTTGGACGATGGTTGGCGACGACGTACAAGGCCTGTGTCGACTTCTACCAGAGTAAGAGAGAGTGAGAGAGGAAAATGGTCCGGAGGAAAGCAGCCAACGATGCCCCTCTAGCATTTTTGCTACCTGCGGACACAATGAGTGGCCGGATTTCTTTTTCCGCGGTCGTTACTCACCCTCCTGCAGAGGGATAGTATTCTTATCCAAGCCGGAATTACAAATTTCAGACACCGAGCCCTTGTGTCGGACAGGATTCTGACTGCGCGTTATATTCTTCGTCCAAAGTGGCTTTGCTTCGCGCGCGAGCACTCCTTTTACAATTTACTCTATGCACCACCTTCCCCTTTCTTTCTTCGTCGTTTATTATTTTTTTCTTCTTTCTCGCTTCGTTCGGATAAAGAGAATAGGGTAAATTTGTAGTAGGATGTATCATGGTTCACTTACACTGGGACGAGCGTGGCCGCGCGGATTCAGCTGCCAAGGAACCGTCGATGGCTGGAACTGCTCCTTTCCCCAGGAACCGTTGTCGAACGGATTCTCACCGATGTGTCCCTGAAAGTTCCATCTTACGGTTAGTGTTACGGTCGTTGGCTGAAATTGCCGCAGACACTCCATTATCTCAGGCACACAGACACGCGTTACTGTAGTTAACCCTTTTGCTCCCGATGTAAGACACTCGTGCATTGTTAAAAATATTCTACAGCAGAAGAAACGGAAACACTTCTAGTCGACGCATTCTTCCAGATATTTAGACACAATTTTCATCAATTTTCGCATAACTAAACGAGCTGTACCAGTCGTGGGACCGACATGGTTGACAAAAATCGTTCGAGAAAAGGCTCGTCAAAACTGTAAAATTTGCTGCAAGTAGAACGAATCTCTCCATCCCTCTCTCGGATCGGAAAGACTAATTCCAAGAAGATTCCATCGAGGCAAAAATCATGCAAATTTAGAAACAACTTCACGGAAGATAATCGACTTCTTTTTCCTCGATAACAACGAAGAGTTGTACCTTGTCCGCGGTTAGTATCGCGAGAAAATATTTATTCCTCCGCGAGCACCGCGAAGAAAACGAGACATCGATCTTTCCACGAGAGTTCACACAGTTCGAAAAGTTTTTTCGATGCTCCTTCACGCGACGGTGGCTGGCTTATTTTTGCAATATATTCGCGAGCCACCCTTCTCGACTTTGCACCCCGTAAGCCTTATTTTTCTTTTAACTTTATTTCTAACCTAGAATCCCGCGACGGCGAGAGGTGGCACGCGCATAAATCAGCCGGTATAATGAGAACACTTCGTCTTCGGCCGGCTCGCCCTCTCGCTCGCAGACGCATCCCTTACGGGCCGGCTATTATATCATTCTTTACTTCGTGCCGTGGATTTCTGCCCGCCGCGATTATATTAATATTCGCTCGCGAGACTCCGTCTCGTTTCCTCTTCTTCTCTTCCGACACGTCTATTCGTTGATAAAGACATCAGATCGCCCAATCATTCGCAGATCGATCCCTCGATACTTGTTTAAAATCCCCCAAGTGACCACTCAAGTGTTAAAAAGTTCTAAGTTCTTTCCCGAATATTTGTATAAATTTAAAGACTGATTTTTATTTCTGCCTAAAAAAAATCTCTAATAATTCCAGACAAATTTCACAATTTTTTCGTGGAATGTCGAGCGTTGACAACTTGTAAATTACAAGAGACTGCTTGCATTCAAATATAAATGTTTCTATTGAGAGACATGAACAGCGGAAATGATTCTGACTCACACGTGAATCAGCTGACAGTTGACGTATAAAGCCGAGTTTCTTTAGCTGCTGTACTTTTCCGGATTCGCAGAAATCTCGGTACTAGCTTATGAAATTACCGTTTATCGAATTTACGTCAGTCTTTTCTAGACTCTTTCGGATGCTTCGCGAATAAATTGACATTCTTATCGTGGAAATTTAGCGAATCGTATTTCACGGGATTTTTATTTTCATTTGAAATTGAAATTTTAGTCCAGAATTACTCTGCAATTACTCTCGATAACGTTTATATCGAAATTTCGCCGAGAATAATCGGCAGACAGGGAAGAATCAAAGAGAATATTACCGTGGAAAGGTTGAATTTCGAAAGACTGTTTAGTTATCACGCAGAAAAAAAAAAACCCACGAGACAGAGAGACCTGTCGAACACATGTGTGATCAGCTGGGAAAGTTGGCCGAGCACGCGATAATGCAGCTGTACCGATTTAATCGAATTACACAGTCCCGGTATAATTAGCCGAATTTCTATTTCTCACGCCCGAGATTGCGCAACAATTTCGATACTTACCGGAGGTACGATGCACGATACATATCTCTCTCGAGGCGTAGGCAAGAAACAGTAAAAGAGTGATCCGTGCCCGGTGACCAAATTAGAGAGAATCGCGGAGTTCGACGAGTTTAGAACGGAGCTAGCCATCGACCGTAAATAGAAATACGACTATAATGTCGTTTACGCGGAAGAATGGTTCGTGATCGAGCTGGCAATTAACTCGGTTGATTCACTAAAATTCCTGTGTAATCATAGATAGAAGAGAAAAGGAACTTGAACGCGACTGATCGTGAGATCGTTGTAATCGTCTTATTATCGTGAAAGGACATATACTGAAGATCAAGCATGGTAGTATTCGTTAATTAGTAATTAATATATATATATTACAAATATAAATATTTTTTTTCCAACGTAGGCGGTCACCCATCTTAACATTAGCCACGAGGAATGCAGCTTGACTTGGAAAGCTACCGAAAAGTCACCCTACCCACTTCCTATTTCTCCCTCGATAAAAAAAACTGCATTCTTATATTATTTGAAGTTAGAACAACTGTAGTAAATGTACAACAGTCACTCGACATAAAATAATCACTTCCAAGAGAAAAAGTTAAAAACAAAAACGCTGTTGTTTAAATCGCTCGGTAGCCCTCGACCCTCGTTTCGCGACTCTCCAAAAACCGTGTCTCCTCTGCCCAAACTGACGCCTCTCGGTTTTAACCACGACGACAGTTGCGAGAGACATTACCGTACGTCGATGGCACAGAGCCGAAGAATTTTCTCACGAGCAGCTAGGCCGAATCGTGTAACGCATAACGATCGATAAGCTCGTTTCGCCGCTTTATAACATCGGCGAGGAGAACGTGTCTCGTTGTGTACCGCCGGCCGAGTACAAGGCAGAAATAAACAGTGGCCGCGGAAAATAATGAACCGGATAGCATATATAAATACGCGCCAGCTATTGAGGTACATTGTGCGCTTCATTTGCATGAGGCGACCGCGTTCTCAACGCGCAGCTGGACACACACGCGACAAAAGAAACGCGCAAACAAAACACGCAACGCGGCTACGACGACGACGACGATGGTGCAGAACGCGCCACGCATCGTCCTCGTGAAATTGTTCCTAACCGACCTCTCTCTATACATACAGTCACATCCAACCACCAAACAAACAAAAGTTCCAACTCTCTTTTAAACAACAGACCAGAGACCACCACACCGTACCGTGTTGTTCATCTTCGTTTCGTGTCCCATATACCTCGTTTACACCGTGCCCGATGTAATTCGCCTGAGAGGGGAGCCACCGAGACGAGAATTTGTTACCGCGTGGACAAGCGAGTGGATTAACGAGCCACGAGCGTGCGGGACGCGCATAACTTTCGCGATTTCGACGATGCATCGATAACAGTGCGCACGTTCACCAGATCAAGCGATAGATTCGAGATTATAACAGTCTGATTCGATGGACGTCTCTCGATGATGGACAGGTGTCTCGAATGAAAGCGAAATTATTCAAGGACCAACCCCCTAGCTTGGCGAATATAGGTTACAACGTTTCGGACGAAATGAAACTTTTACGTCTAACGTCGAAAATCCTAAGGCGAGAAGCAAGCAGAGGTGACTTGTGGACAGCGAGGAATGTAGCCAGCGAAGATTATCGAGTGCGAGAGGGAAACTCGTCGCGGGTGGTGAGAGCGTAAAAAGGGCATAAAATTAGTATACAAGGCGGCAATAAAAACGATGATCGACGAAGATTACCCAGGGAGTTCCTCGTAAGACACTCTCCGGCGAAATGAAACGTTTTATCGGTCGCTCGTGTCTCTAGCAGTGGGGTGACGAGGAAAGAAGAAGAAGAAGGTGGTGTGAGAACACGAGGAACACAGTCGAGCCTAGTCTGATTGTAATCATATTTTCCAGTGGGGGAGACGGATTTATGCAACGCAACGCCGCGTCGTCTCTGTACATAAAACGCATTTAAAATTCTCCAGGCAGCCGGGGAAAGGTGGGCGGGCTGCTCCTGTGTCTCTTGTCGATAGGACAGAGAGGAGGAAAAGGGGTGGTTAGGGTGGTTCGAGCGCCGCGGGGGTTGTAATTGGCAATATCTATCGAATTTTACAATAAATCTCACCGAGCCCCGAAGGAGAGCCAGCGGGGGTGGGGCGTAGCAATAAAACACCGGGTAGTATCGCGAGGGGCTGCCACACCGTGCACTTAACGACTTATCTTATCTTGGAATTAGGTCGCGGTTAGAACTCCTTTAATCCGGCTACCAGCACGAATGCCAACGGTTATCCGCTGCTAATTATAACCCTAAAATTCACGCTGACGAATGATTAATCGTGCCTGCATTCTGTTTGTTGCATCGACTCTCGGCTGGTAACACTGTTCGTCAACCCCTCGCCCTACGATTCATCATACTTCCCGGCTATTCCAATTGCTTAATCTCGCTGCAAGTCTCCACGAATCCCTTCACTTGTGATTTTTTTCTGGTGACTGTGCGTTACTTATATTTGCTAATCTCCAGTTTTATAAATTGAAAATTAATTTCGGTTACTATACTATTTTTAAAATCTTCGCTAAGAGTCTGGCTCGTTACGAGATAAAGTGTTAAACTTATTTTATAGAGATAAGAATAGGGAGATGCGCAATCACCACAAGTATTTTCAAGAATTTTCCAATATTTTCGATCATAACTAACGGAAAAGTTGTTTTCTTTTTTCAAGTTTCGTAGAAAAGTATTCTTTGATAAAAATTCACTGATAGTTATAGCACATTATCTTTCGGAAATACGCCTCCGATGATTAGAGTCACGAACGGCTAGACCTTGGAAAAGCAGGCGTTAATATTTACTCTGATTCGTGCCCGCGTACGATCCATTGAAGTGATGCAGTCACTGTCGTAATTACTGTTGACTTCATGCTTTAGAAAGCGACATTCCCTGAACAGAGATAATACAATCTTTTTCCACGAACGTTGTCGTCTACATTAGCAACCCGTAATCTTACCAAAGTCTGCAGGAAAATACAATCTTACACACTTTTATCCTCCCTCTCTCTCTCTCTTTCTCTGTGTCACAAAGAGCTTACGAACATTCGTAATCTCGTTAAACAGCGACGCGTTGAAATCCGTTCGAACTACGAGATCGACGAGACGGTGGTGTACAGGAGAGAGCGTATACATAGATGAAAGAGCGAAGAAATTTTCAAACACACCACGGTATTTGTGGCCCCGTCAATTTTTATTCTCGGCCGTTAAGTCGTT